TCTAAATAAGTAGAGATTAAATGGAAAAAATAAAACATTGTTAATAACTTATTTAACACTTTAAATAGAGCAATATTATATATGTTGTGCGTGCAGTTGAGAAGGAGTATATCTAGTCCGTATTTATAAGATAATGTAACTTATTAAACTCCAAAATATATATATATATATATATATATATATATATATATATAAAGAAAAAGAAATAATAATTAATTTATGTAAACATAAAAAATAATAATAAACAATACAACTGAATAAATAGAGATTGTATAGAAAAAATAAATCATGTTAACAAATTAGAGATAATTAGCACGTGCATTTTTATTCCAGCTCTTTGATGCATAAATTCCCTATAGATTTGAGAGATAATCAACTTAAGGAGACTTTGTTGCTGTCATATCCAAAAAAATTATCTTATCACAAATTTAATTTTTTTCCAAAAAAATGACGCGTAAATCCGCAATTTTGTGGGCTTCCAAACAACTTATCTTATCTTGATGTTGTCCGTTGAATAAAAAAAAAAAAGCAATAAATGCAGAATAAGAATTGACCGGAAATTGACCTACCATTTTTTAAAAATGGTAAATCTTATTATATATATAGATGTGCGATTAAACAAACATCTTAATGTTTTTTTAAATTAAATGTTGGACTAAACGATTATATTATGTTATTTTAAAAAATTACGAGTAGGACTAAACGGACATACTGAACAGTTGAATAAATTTAATAATGATTTGGTGATTTTGTGCATGTCTTTTCAAAGTATACACACAAAATATTGATATGTATATTTTCTTAGACCACACAAAAATTTAAAAGTATTCCCTAATTTAATTTCGCATTCATTTATCCATTTATTATTTGTCTTATATTTTAAAGATATATCATTTACTTAATCAGTTAGAACAAATTAATGTAAAAAAAAATGAGTGATTGTCTGCATTTGTTTTATAAATTTGTTAAAAAATATATTAATAAATATTATATGTTTTTGATAAAATCTTGCGAAAAACATATCTTCTTCTTCTTTACCTTAATTTTCACTTAAAAAATTATGTACACGGGTTCTACAATGCAATATTACTGAAGGCTAAACGGTTGTATAGATTAATCAAAATCAAAATATGTGAAACATTGAACATAAAGATATGACACACATACATAGAAGGAACAAATTAAAAATTATCATGTTGAAAATTTTCAATAAAAAATGGGTCTCATGTAACATGGACACCTCAATAATTACCTGCATATGTTGCAGGTTCCAAAAAAAAAAAAAAAAAAAAA